AGCATAAAAGGTACAAAATGGTAACAACAACAAAATAAGCTGAGACAGTGCTTTAAGTGGATTTTGCGGTATAAACAAAGAACCAACAACATAAGTTGTAAAAGTAAGTCAGTTCATGCAATTTGCGAGCAATATAATCAAAGCAAGCTTTTTCAACACTTGGTTAAATTTTTACCCGATTTCTACCTATCCTTAAGTGATTTGACTTCACATTGCGACATGCGTTATCTCTTCTCCAAACCATGAACGTACAAAGTATTGTGCCCATCCTACGAACAAACTCCAAAGAGTGCGTAGTTTTTATGTCCTTCCAAGAACTTCCAATCCGTGAATCAATTTTTTCGTCACACCACTATGTGAAAAAACAGCAGAATCAGCGAACCCCATTGTCAAGAAAACCTACAGCTCACCCCAGAGACCGGTCAATCTAAACCTTGAGACGCGAATTGTCGAACTACCGAAGGCTCCATGTATAGGGGGTTGGCATTGGGCCGGGTAACTGCAAAGCTGTCTACTATAAAAGGACTATAAGCCCGCGAGTGAAAGCAACACACAAAATTTGACCACTAACACCATCATTGGGCGCCATTCACTGATTGCATTATCAACAAACTGGCTATTGGGAATACTAGCAACTTGCAGGGTTGCTTGTAACCGAAGGCTTAGCATTCAGCTTCATGGATATGCACAAGACCTAATAAGGCTCACCTTAAATCATTCGGAGTGAGCGCTTGCGTCACAAGTGATTCAAATAAACACTGAACCCTCGAATGAAGCGGAGCGGTCTCCTGAGCCAATGCCCGCGGAAATAAGGTGAGTAATTCCCGGGGCATGGCTACTGAACACATCAATTGTTGATTCCGTTCGCTTCCAAACAGTTGATTGATGACATCCAAGAGACAATACTGGAAACAGAAAGTGAATTGAGAAAAATGATTATGACAAGGGAAACTCAAAAAGATAGATTCGATTACACCCTCACCCTCGAGGCTCAATGACAGAAGGGGTAGGATAAATGGATTACAAAGATCTGGTACCGGCCCATCACATGTTAGCGTTCGGAAAGAGAGCTAAAGAACACGTGTCTTTCATCATTTTTCATGTTTCACTAAAGACAATTTCCCTCGTAGCTTTCTAACAAATTAACATCTGCAGACTGTGAGTCATCAAAGGAACCCTCTTAAAGAAACACTAGACCTAGAATTCGGGGTGATGGTTTTGGTTGCTCTCTTCTGACTTCTCATTTCGATAAAGGAATAACGAGAAGAGATCGAAAAAGAAAGCAGCACCAGATCAACCTTGCCGAATGCAAATAAACTAATTTAATGTCTGGAGTAGGCCAATCGGTTTTTCACAGGCCCTGAATCGATTGACCCATTGCAAAAAATGATGAAAGTCGGCTGTGGCTTAAGGGTTTTGACTCCCGACCCGAAGATTCGTAGATCGAGTGCTAACAGGGACACAAAGGAACGCGCTGCTGATGAGAGCTAAACAGAACGAAACATCTGTCCAGTGATCTTTACCGTTCACCGCAAAGATTTCCTTGCATTTGAAATGGAGTTAAACTAAATTTGCACAACAAAGGATAGCATATACACGAATAACTCTGTTTACAACACTGTGTGACTACCCAGTGATTCTACAGATCCCAAAATCCCTAGCTGGGAAGGCTAACGTGCTCTGCGCGACCGAGTGCCTGATCAGCGTTTTCACCTCTAATACCCATTCGTATTCTAACTATTCCTGACGTTCTTCCACCCACAACCAGCCTCGGACAGCATCCACTTTAAGGAAGCCTACCTGAAGATAAGCGAAACATGCCATAAACAATGTAATCCATAGGAGTGGGGGCGATTTCTTCAGTGGACGACCTGGATTACCCAAAACTCTGAATCTAATCTGAGCATTGCTTATCCTCTTCCCCAACAGTGTCGCGCAATGCGACACAGACAGTGGTGCTTGAACACCGACAGTATACCGGCCAGGTCTCCGCGCGATACAGTTATACTGACCGCACTGCTGCAGAATAAATTCGAGTGGTTACGGACATATATACTGATGCGGTTGATATATTTAGCTGTCAAACACTAATCGAACCTCTTGTGTGCTTTCCAGTAATCCAGAAAACTGGTCACCAGTAATTCACTCCACTTGAACTTTGTCAACTGTTTTTGGTTTTGTATGGAATGGTTGAATACCCCTGTTATCGAATGTATCATAGGCATCTCAAACAGATATGAGAAGTTATTACTGGCTGCTGAGGAAAAGGCAAACACAAAATCTCAGCACTGGAAGATTGGATAGTTTTCATGAATTCCCAATTACCCCCTGTGAGCCCGATCCGGCGTCTTAGGTTTTCCCATAGTTGCTCTGATCCAGCGCACCTGATACGCTCTGCTGGAACTAGTAACGTGCCAAGAACAATGAGAAACACTATAGTCCCAGAGTTGGAGAACCATTCACTGCAGCCAACACTTGTTCATATTTAGAAGGCAATAACAGCAACAAACGATGCGTATTCGATTTCAAGCTCTGGGAGTCAAACTGAGTCCAAAGTATCTACACCGAAGGTACATTATACGTCAAAAACCACAAGCGGACTATTGATCACGCCGCCCTGACGGTTATCTGCACTAATGTACCAGAGGCGACAGCAACTTCACTGAGGGAGAGAAAAATGGAAGAGCCCGGTCACTGGACTGCATTATGCACTCAAATGAACATTAACGTTCATCCAATTAGCGTCATTCGCCTCTTTCATCAACCGTCCTCACCTCACGCCGGAGAACCCCGATACTTCGCGTTACTTTGAAGACGCCGAGAACGTTCTTCTTTCTAGTTACCCACTTGACAAAATTTCGAGTCGTATAAGAACACTTCCTGATCGACCGTGGACCGAATGTATGCGCTATCGCACGAACCCAGTAGATGCACGCGGAGCGGAAAATAAACGAGTTGTATTGATTCACGGAGTACCGGAATTAAACGATCCAGACGAATCTATATGTCAACAAACTATCATAAAGAGTGGAGGTTTATCCAAGAGTTGATTGAATGCCATAATATTTTCACCATCTCAGTCAGTCGACTTCCGTGTTCAGCAAACTACCGTGAAAACGGCCCGAAGATTACGAAAGTAACCCTCAGTAACCTGGAAATGGTCACATCGGTCTTGCAGGCATGGTATCAAACCGGAAGAGGACCACCAGAATTACGCATTAAACCACTGCTGAATAGTGAGTTAGGACGATATCCGCAGTTCGAAAACCAAACCCCACTTCCCTCTACTTATTCGAGAGCCCAGAGCAACAACCGATTCCCAAAAAAGCTACTGCTAGCCGACCGCAGAGTGGTCGGCATAAATAACGATTCGAAATCCAGCGGATTCCTAAACAGACGCTCCCTAGCTTGCTTTTACACAAACGCACGAGGCTTTCTTAGCAAACTCCCTGAGGTTCAAATGCGATTACAAACTGGTCAGTGGGATCTTGTTGTCATTACCGAAACTTGGTTGACTGCTGATATTGCACCTACTCGGAATGTCACTGCTGAGGCGTCATCGTTCTACACGAGGTGGCGGTGTGTTGCTATATTTCCGCAGCAACCTTCAATGGAAACCACTCGATCTCTTCAATGCAGTCCCCAACACACTTTGCTGCACAATGAGGCTGTCCAAAGATAGCAATTGTTTGATCGGTGTAGTCTACCACCCTCCTGCACCCTCAGATTTAGCTAACGAGGCACACTTGCAGACTATGAGAAACGCTGTCTCACTTAAGTACAGTCATGTTCTCATAATGGGAGACCGCAATGGTCCCAATTTTATATCACCAGTTTCGAGCGAAACTTATCACAGTTTATAGACTCACAACCGATGTATAATCACGTGAAGAATCCCACCAGATCTGGAACAGGCCACCAACCACCAACACTGAACTTGATATTGATAAGCAAGGAGCTTATGGTCGAATCGGTCGAAATAACGTCTCCATTAGGACGAAGCGACCGTGCAGTTCTGCTTTTCGATTACATTTACCACTCCTCAACAGAAATATGCCTAAAAACCAACACACGCACAGTTATTGACCACAATGAATTGCTGAACCTTGCTACTGTCAAACAATGGACACAACCAGAAGAGCAGCGAGATCCACTGGAGTCCTGGAAAAGATCCATTGAAACATTAACAGAACTCATAACGGTCGCCACAAAAACCAAGCCTGTTGGTGCGTCGCCTACACAATTATCACCTATCCGTAGTCGAACTAAGAAATGGATGTTACAGACCAATTTCTCTAGGCGAGAGTTCAGAAGATCTCCGACCGCCGACGCTTGGGATAACTATATCTTGTTGAGAAACCATTGTGTAAAATTAGTGCGAGAGGATAAACGAAGGTTTCCGGAAACTCTGGCACAAAAATGTATTGCCAATCCAACTAACTGAAATGTGAGCTCCAGTGCTTGCACAAGTTATACACAATACACACAATACACAACGCTACTGTATAAGCATATCAATGCTACCAGAAAAGTGAAATATGGAATACCGGCACTAAGGCAAACAGGACGCGTTTCCACTACTACTGCTGAAGCAGCCGAATTCCTAAAACTCCAGTTCTACGAAGTGTTCACTGCAGGTAACAAAGGCGGATTACAGGTTCCACACCTTCTATCAAGTGTCCCATACCCCCAACTGACCACCGTCACGTTCAAATCTGAAACAGTTAAAAAACAAACTATTGACCCTGCGCCGGAATTCATCTTTAGGGAAAGACAACATCCGGCCACAGACCCCGACGGCCTTGGCAACTAATTACCCATTTATACCAAAGAATGTTCAACAAGACGAAGATCCCTCAATCCTGGAAACACGGCATCATTTCGCCTATTTACAAAGGCGGCTGCAGAAGTGATCCTGCGAACTACCATCCAGTTATACTTCTGCCTATTCTGTCAAAAGTGATGGAATCGATTGTTGCTGATTCTCTGATGGATCATTTCGAGAAGCATAACATAATTTCGCCGGTCCAACACGGGTTTCGAAGGAAACGCTCGTGCACCACAAACCTGCTACTTGTACGAGATCAATGGACAAGATCAGTCGACGCAGGAGAGGCAGATGTAGTCTACTTAGACTTCTCCAAAGCTTTTGACAGGGTTAACCACCATATATTGCTGCGAAAACTCCATAATTATGGTGTCCGAGAACTGCTACTGGACTGGATTGAGGAATTTCTTCGACAACGTACCGCATCGGTTCGAGTTGATGGTTCTCTGTCCGGACCGATTGAGGCTGTCCGTGGAGTTCAACAAGGATCCATACTCGGTCCGTACTTTTTCGCAGCATTCATAAACAACCTACCAGATGTCCTTGGAGAAAAGGCATTATTTTTCGCTGATGACGCCAAAACATGGAGGACGGTAAAATAACCTGAAGATTATGAAACCTTGCAGGAAACTCCCGATGCAGCCTATCGATAGGCCATAATTAATGACATCAAATTCTACGTTGAAAAATGCAAGGTTCTATTGCTGCGCCATAAGGGTCGCTTTCGATACTTACTTGGGACTCAGCCATTGCTGCGTTCTCCAAACGAAAAGGACTTGGGAGTATTCGTTCGTGAGGATCAAGGATGTTCCACACATTGCGCAAGAGCGTCTTCAAAATCTATAAAACACGTTGGATTGCTAAAACGTCTTTTTGGATCATTCGAAACAGACCTATTGCCCCGTTTATCATCAGCATACATTAAACCACACACCNACAGGCTTGGAATCCATGGCTGATTCGCGACCAAAAGGCACTTGAACGTCTGCAGAGAACAGCAACCAAAATGGTCAAAAATGATCCGAGGACATCCGTTTAAACTTCTGCTCCAAATGAGCCGCCTCGACTGCAGGCGTCATTCTTTCAGCCTCAGAGTTTGTAACACCTGGAACTCTCTTTCACCTCAAGTTGTTTGTGCACCAACCATCGATTCATTCAAGTCNTGAACGTCAGAATTTGTTATTCAATTGTATTACCAACCGAGCCCAGTGTGAACAGACCCTATGGGATTCAATAAGCATCAGCTTGTAATTCGCCCATTATATAAATTTGATTTGATTTGATTTGATAAATCATGAATGGCTTTGTTTGTGGTGGCTGAAATCAGCTTCTTTCGTCAAGAAGGACGCCAAATGTTTCCATTCGAAATCAGTTTCATCAATAGACTTTATGAAATCGATCGGAGCAAACATGCAGCGAATCCACGAAAGATTTACGGCTACAAATCAGAGCTCGATTCTAAGACAACCGATTTCAATCGGGAATACAACGATTTAGAGGAACAAATGCATCCACAGCAACTAGTCGGAAAATCTTTTTGGTTCGAGTTCTTTAGGATGCAAAGGTTTAAACTAGTTAGGCAGTGACCACGTAGTTCTAAAATTCTGAACTGTCCGTATAGGCTCCGGAAAGTTTATTCTTTTACCTTCTTTCGTGTTATAACCTTCAGATCATTTTCGAACACGGAACCATGTGAAACATTTCCACCATCGATCAATCTAGGGCACGCAAATCGATTCAAAATCCACCAGACTGTTTAAACAAAGTGGAAAACATAATCAGAGGGATCATCTTGAAGGCCCTCATCAGCATGCGGTGCCAGTGCGAACGGACGATAAGTGCACCAACCGCTGCATGAAAATGATTGAGCACGATCGGGGAGCATGGGAAGGGATACGAACTGGTCGATCAAATCATCATGAACCCTATCTGTGGGAACGGTAGAGTGTGGATTCTTAATTGTGTGTATTACGCATTCAATTCACAGACAAAACACGCACACTCTAACTCACCTGTAGTTGTGTGCCTTCCCAATCCAGCTTGGAGGATGAATCATCGCTCGACTCCTTTTCTTCCGGGCACTGTTGGTCCAACATGGCAATGAGATGTAACATTGATACAATCGCCCCGGGGTGCACAATGGATGGATAAGTAGCAGTCGGCATTAATGACTCGGTTTCAGCAGACTGAGGCAGACCATTCACAGTTCGTACCACCACGTCTGCAGGAGGAGAACTGGGAGTGGATCGATCCGAGCAAACTGGATGTAAGGAGTGTCTACCAGCAGGGGAGGGGAGAAAACGGAATGGTACGACGAAGAGCGCTAGGCAAGTGGTGCTCGATAATTATTGGAGGATGATGACGTTGCCGTGAGATGGTGGTGGTAGAGTAATCACATTATGGATTGTGTGTCAAGAATAGGGTGTCGTAATTACAAAGTTGAGTTAGGTGATAAAATGCACAAATAGGATGGAGCAACCGTTGAACTTCATCCAATGCTCTTTCTGTTACAGTTGGATAAAACTAAGCCTTTCCTATCCATTGAGATCTGCATCGTCTGCCATACCCCAAAGGCACTAGTGCACCCAAAAAGAAAGGAAACCTTCTTATCGCGCAAAACAGATTCGCGACTCTAGACTTCCATAATGTCAGTTATTAACGTTGAGACTTCGAAACGGGTATAACATTTACGCAATGAGTCAACCGAAACTCCTCTGGTCTCCCTCTCAAAAGCACCGATATAGATTCTCGTTGGAATACTACTGCTGTGAAATACTACTCACTTGTGGGTAGTACGCAAAATAATGCGGTCAGCAGTTTCTTTCAACGACCAAAAACGAATAAGACCTGTTGGAGCAAACGGTTGCTGTTTGGTACGCTGAACACAAGAATGCACATCTGATAGTGGACCACTTCATTACATATCCGGTGTGTTTGCGGGAATTCTGCAAACAGTCTAAATGGGAAAATTTGTTATATGAATGACAATTTAACCATATCCTGGCAATCAATGCCTATCCTCGACCAGTACCATCTTGTGGAGTATAACACCTCGAAAACATTCTCAATACCACAAAAAGTAAGTTCGTCGCATGCTCACGATTGGAGAATATTCTATAAACAATATGCTCTATCGAACTGATGATAGAAATTTCCTTTGACCACACAACACCAAAATATTTCGTTTTTGAAGTCGGAGAAAAACCCGGTTTGTTTGCAGAAAATGGCAAAAGAATGAAAGTTTGAAAAAAAAACTGGTTCAGTTAATTCGTTGAGTATGTGCTATTTTCACTCTTTTATTGATGAATTTTACGTTGTTTCACCAGAAAACTTAAAAACAGACAGAGGTGAATACGGAGTAAAAACGAAAGGTGCAGTTGTGCCGTTTCGTTCATGTACAAACAAAACGAAGTGCATATATATATATATAAAATGAGAATCGGTCCTTGAGAGGTGCTCTAGAAGCTGCCGCAGGGTGAAACTTTCATCGACGAATCCATGACCGGTGCGAAACCCAGCATGTGCTCCTTGTGGGTCTGCTCCTTACGTGTCATGTACAATCGCCAGAGAATGACGGACGCCAAGGCTTTTGACGTTATCGGGATCAGTCTGACAACCCTATGATTCAGTATATTATCAAGATCGGGACCACAACAAATTCCCCAAAGGGCATGGGACCTATTCAGCGTGCCAAATTTTAGGGAAAAGAGCAACTCCCTAAAATGCTTTCCTTCACCATCTGAAAAAACAGCCCCAGGAAAGCAATCGGAACCCGGCGCTTCAAACCTCCTGGAATGTTTCCGACTCGGAATGTGCCTCTGTTGCGACAAATCACGGGTTGAACTGCATAAGGAAAGGAAGCATTGGACTGCTCCATCAGCAGCAGAAATCCATCGAACCAAAAGAGAATTGAACCCGGTGCATGCATTCAGTGTTTCTTGGAGTTCCAGCGAACTTCAAATTTCTGTCATTGTCTTCCAGAT